TGCATTGGCACAGGAGACAACTTCCTGAATAGAACACCAGTGGTATAGACACTGAGGGCAACAATTAATAAATGGGACTTCATGAAACTGAAAAGTGTCTGTACAGCAAAGGATACTTTTAAATGTACAAAATTGCAGCCTATAGAATGGGAAAAGATCTTCACCAATGCGACAGAGGACTGATCTTCGAAATATAGAAAGAACTCAAGAAACTAGATATCAAAAAAAACAACAACAAATAATCTGATTTAAAAATGGGGGTACTGACCTAAATTGAGAATTCTCAATAGAAGAATCTCAAATGGCAGAGAAACACTCAAAGAAATATTCATCATCCTTAGTCATCAGAGAAATGCAAATCAAAATAACTGAGATTCCATCTTACACTTGTCAGAATGGCTAAGACCAAAACCACAAATGACAGCCTATACTGGAGAGGATGTGGAGCAGGGGAAATACTCCTCCATTTTTGATGAAAGCGCAAACTTGTACAGCCGCTTTGGAAATCAATATGGTGGTTATTCAGAAAATTGGGAATTGATGTACTTTAAGACCCAGCTATACTACTCTTGGGCATATATCTGAAGGACATGCCATCCTACCATAAGGGCAAATTCAAAGGCAAATGGATGGAACTAGAAAAAATAATTCTGAGTGAGGGAACCTAGACACAGAAAGATAAACATGCTATGCACGTATTCATAATTGGATATTAACTGTAAAGTAAAGGGTGACCATACCCCAATCCACAGACACACAGAGGCTAGGTAACAAGGAGGGCCCAAGGAGGGATGAATGGATCTCCCTGGGAAGGGAAAATAGAGGAGATCTGATTGGACTGGCGGGGGGGGGGGGGGGGGGGGGGGGGGGGGGGGGGGGGGGGAGGCATGGGAGCTTGAGAGATCAGGTTGGAGGGTGGACAGAGGGGGACAATGTTGAGAGAGATGACTAGAAAGGGGGGGGGGTTATGGAACTGGGTAGAAGCCTGATACAAGGGAAACTTCCATGAGTCTACAAGGATGGCCCCAGGTTAGACACCAAGCAGCAGAGGATATATAACCTGAACTAGATATCCCCTATGATCACATTGGTGACTACCCTGACTTTTCTGAAAGCCTTCATCCAGTGACTGATGGAGGCAGATTCAGAGACTCATGGCCAAACATTGGCACCCACTCAGGAAATCCTGTTAAGGAAAGGGAGGGAGAATTGTAGGAAACAGGGGTGTCAGCAAAAATGCGGGAAAACACACAGAAACCATGAGCCTGGCTTATGGGAACTCAGAGTCTGAGTCAACCACCTCTGCATATATGTGACATTTGTGTGGCTTGGTCCACATGTGGCACTGCCAGCAATGGGACCAAAAGCTGACCTCAGTCAATTGATTAGCTCTTGGGAACCTATTTCTCATGCTGGGTTGCCTTGCCGAGCCTGAATGCAGGGGGAGGTCTTATGGCAGTTTTAAATGCCATGCTTTGCTGAAGCCCATGGGAGGCCTGCCCCTTTCTGAGTGATTACAGAAAAGGCATGGATAGGGCGGTGTGAAAGGGATGAGGGAGGGATGGAGTGGGAGGAGAGGAGGGAGGGGAGGCTGTGGTTAGGATGTAAAATTAATTAATTAATTAATAAAAAAACTTAAATAATCTGTGAATATTTCAATAGCTCATGGTCATTTTTAAAATAAAATTTATGAGGCTAGATCCCTCTCTGATCCTAAGAAATATACTGGTGTCAAACTATTTTCATTAGAGAAATAGTGGTTTTATTTACTCATATATTTATATTTATCTATTCATATATTTATTTACTTATTTATTTATTCTTGTATGTGTGCTACTGGGGATGGAATCTAGGTCATTGCATCTGCTGGGCCAGGGTTCTGCCACAGAGCTAGCCTCGAGCCATAACTATTTTATAGAAGTAAGCATAGTCAAAAGCAGTATCTGTCATTAACACCCAGGAAGAGGAAAACTTTCTGAACAAAGGCTTGCTTCCAAGGACTAGTCAAAGAATGGAGAAAAATATGGCACTACATTATTTAATACCATGAAAAATTCACCCTGAGTAGTTTAAGGATGAGACAGATTGCTCTTTCACCTTAACAGTGTTGCCTGGTGCCATTCATCTCTGTCTCTTTAAAAATTCATTATTCCTAAATTTTATTTTGTCAACTTGGTTTTAGTAACACAGCTTTAAGCAAAACTTTGACTCAATTGCTGTAATTACTGTTGAAGATTGGGAACAAAAAGAAATGTTTGCAATCCAAGCTTTTTGTACAATAGAATGTTTGTTAGTTTTCTAACAGTGTACAGGAAATTGACACAAATTTAGTCACATAAGAATGTCTGTATATTCATTCATACTTTTTTATGTGGCCAGGGCAAGCTCTACATAACAGAGTTCCTGCTCAGGGTCTCAGGAGACCTAAACCAGTCTACTAGATTATAATTGTCTCTGGGGGTAGCTGAAAAGAGATTGCTTTCAATGCCTTCATGTTTCTTGAGGTTACAGAATAAGATTCATATTTCCCTGCTGCCTCGCATCCCTGGTCCTCTGCTCAAGCTTTAAAACATCTTACATGGTCAAAGCAAGAATCCCTCTCCCACTGAATCTCTCACACTGCATGATTTCTCTCAGATTAAGATGAACCCAACTTCTTCAATGGGCTCTGTATACTTGGGTTATGTCCTCCCAAGAAATCTGCCTCTTGATTGATTTGAGTCAGCAGGCCCCACACTTGAGCAGAGTTCAACAAGGCCAGGAGGGCTTGATGGACAGACATGTGAGACTCCTTCCTATCACTAAGAAAGTGAAGTTACTAGTGTGAAATCTGTAATTTTAAGGAAGAGCATTGGCTAATCTGCTAGAGGGCCGAGGTTTGATTCCCAGCACCAAATGGTGGCTAACAACTATCTGTTACTACAGTTCCAAGGGAACTGACATCCTCTCTTGGTCCCCGTGGGCACCAGATATACAGACATACATACAGGCAAAATACCCATACATACAAAATAATAAAATTAAATTAAAAAATGAGAATGACTGGAGAATAAGAAAACTAGGAAATTGACTAAAAAGTTATAAAGAGGGAAAGTGTGAGAAAAGTAAATGTCAGAAAATCAAAACACAAAAAGAAAAGGAAAGTGCCCAGCGGCATCTGAAATGTGACAGTGTAATAGGCTGTACTAACACTGCTGTAGACCGAAGAGACATAACCAAAGGTTGGTATCAAGAACTTACTCTATTACTGTAGGTAACCATACATTTAAGCTCCTAGTCATTGAAAAACAGGCTCCAGTGTGATGCCTTAAGATAAGGATGCTTTCAGCTCTCTGGAATCCAATTGCCAAGAGGGCCCACTGTGCTGTAGTGTGTCTCTATATGAGTGGTCCTCAGGACCTGCCATCATAAGTGGCCTGATGCTACTGTGAGGATAGAAACTGCCAACTCATCTTGTCACGTATCCTGCCATGCTCCTTCCTTCATGTGCTCAGGTACATTTAGCCTTGGTAACATTTTTCGTAGCATTATATGAGAAATTGAATAAAGGATGGTTTAAAAGTTTGCTAGTTTTGTTTGTTTGTTTGTTTTCCTCTGTGAATGAATTTTAATGGCCTGAAGACTTCACTATCTTAGTTCTTTATTCTAAGTGGATTAAAGTCTGCTTTTTTTATGTAATTACAAACACATTAAAAGAAAAAAAAGATATCATCAGCCATGTAGTTTGAGAGATATATGAATATCTCATTTTACCGATAGAAAGATACTCCAACCAGGGGACCTTGGGTATCATATTTTACAATATAGTCTTCTTTTAGAAATTCAATAACCATGGTAACCAGCTTGTTAAGCATTGAGAAATGCTGCAACCTTGGCTATATTTTGTTGTCTTTATTTGGTCACAAAATTCTCTTGTAACAAAACACAAGGCCATTACTCTGCTCTTATTTTACTTTAGAACAATGGTTTTCAACTTTCCTAATACTGTGACCGTTTAATACAGCACCTCATGTTGTGGTGACCCTTAACCATAAGATTATTCCATTACTACTTCATAACTGCAATTTTGCTACTGTTGTGAATTGTGATGTAAATATCTGATATGCAGAATATCTGATGTGTAACTCCCAAAGGGGTTGCTACCCACAGGTTGAGAAACTCTGTTTTGGAAGGTCATCTAAGATGTGGAGTCAGCAATTCCAGCTCCTCTGAAATTCTAAGCTTCTACTGGATACAGCTAGGTAGAAATAATAAGCTCCTATTGACATCATTTTGGTTTTGTTGGTTCGGTTTCTCAGGCACTGGGAATTAGAGCAGATAGACAGGTCTGCAACCTTGTGGTGTGGTCTGCTGTTGACAATTCCATCAGATATGGGAGACAATGATGACCTCTTTATATTGTGTTTCATTTCACTTATGTAGCCTCAAATTCTTTTTCTCCAAGCATTTCATATTTTCTCATTAATAAAATGTATTCAAACTATGAAATAAATACAGTCTAACCAGCCAAGGCAATCATTATTTAGGAAGCTAATAATTATTTGTATTTTTTAAAATTTAATTATATTGTTGGGCTTGATGGCTCAAGTCTATCATCCAAACACTGGAAAATGGACATAGGATAATCAGGAGTTTAAAACCAGCTCCATAGTGAGTGTGTGGATAGTGTGGGCTACGTGGGATCCTGTTTTAAAAAAAAAATGTTATAAAATTATAGAATTATATCAAACTCATTTAGAATGCAAAAAGTTAGTGATTTATAGTTCAGTAACTATATTAAAAAAGACTGATTTTCCATTTTCCTTCCATAGTAAAAATACATAGCTTTAAAAGAAATGACATTTTGAAAGGATTGACACTTGATTTACATTGTAGAAGGCATGCTTGACTTCAACACCTGGAATCAAATGTGAATAATAAAAATAGTCGATTGTCTTGAAGTCTGTGATTTTGGAGACATTTGTTCTGATAGTGTCCCTGTGACTGTCTCTTTGCTTTAGGAGTGCAAGATCCCCAGCATGAGAGAGTTGTCACTGTCTCTGCTAATGGGACCATCCACAGCCCGAAGTTTCCACATACTTACCCGAGAAATACGGTGCTGGTGTGGAGATTAGTTGCAGCCGATGAAAACATGCGGATCCAGCTGACGTTTGATGAGAGATTTGGGCTGGAAGACCCTGAAGAGGATATTTGCAAGTGAGTGACACATTTGCAGTTCCAGCAGCAGAGAGCTCTGTGTTTTTCAAGCTGCTTCCACGATATGGTTTTAAACGGAACCTTAGTTTTGTTTTTGATGAACCTAAATTTACAAACACTTCAAATTCTATTTCCACTAAGGCCCTCTTTAAAAAAAAATCAGAATCCTCAGGCGTGCACAAACTCAGTGATTGCTTTCTGTCTTTCTGTCTACCTCAATATAATTTGTGAAAACCATATCTGAGTACAACTGCTTTTAAGAGAAAATAGATAGTAAAAGCTATTTAAAGGATTGTACTTATATCAGACAATCTGAATTACCACTAGCATTAATTTTATATTTGAGCTTCCTGAAAGTCAAGTCACTGAGATAAGGAAGATATTTAAAGAGGGTCGGGATAATGGCTCAGTGGGAAAATTGCCATTGCCAGCATGAATGCCTGATTTCACATCTCTAGCACCCATGTAGCTGGTGTAAAATCTCAAGCTGGGGTGGACAGGGACAGAACTGTGCAACTCTTTGGCCAGTCTACATATCTGAAGCTGTGAGCTCCAGGTCCAACCAAAGATATCCTGTCTCAAAATATTATGGTAGAGAAGCTGTATTGGGTTTTGGCCTCCACAGACATGCACACACATATACACCCACAAGTCACTTACACATGCATATACGACACACACACACACACACACACACACACACACACACACACACACACACGCTTACACACACATACATGTATGTGCACAAGCAAAAGCTGTATCTAAAGGTGTACATTATTTAAATGAAACACTGATACCTAACTACATGCATGAGGATCTAAGAAGCTTAAGTCTCATCAGGAGGAAGGCATATAGTTTGAAGAGCAGAATTTGACATTCAGGATAAAAATGAAAGGTAGGAATGCACCATGGTTCTCAGCAGCATTCAAGATCTGGTCAGGTGGGATAGTTTATCCACATAGAAGCACTATTCTAAGTCAGACCAACATTCCTCTTTCAATCCCATGTGGCTATGCCTGTCAAGGTTGGATGGTCTTAAGAATTTCCATTTCAGTGCCATTTGTGTATCATGAAAATATTTTACTTGATGGTTTTTGCTGGATTCCTTCTGTCTTCTTTGCTATGCAAGTTAAAAGAGAAATTTCTTTTTTTTGAGTTTTAATTTTTTCTTTTTTTTATTATTTTATAGTTAATTTAATTTTACATATCAGCCATGGATTCCCCTGTCCTCCCAGCCCCCATGGAACTGGATCAGGCCCTCTGGATAAGTGAGACAGTTGATTAGCTTGAACTGTTTGGAAGGCCCCCAGGCAGTGGGACCGGGACCTGTCCTTAGTGTGAAAGAGAAATTTCTTTTTGTCATATATTACAGATAAATATTTCAGTGCATGTCAAGTAAACTTCATACTTTGTAGTCAGCTTTTAGCTTTAGCATCATTTCCCCGACTTTCTTCTGTCTGTGACTGAGGTTTGCACTGTGTTTTTCCTTCTATTTGTAATATAAACCATCAGAAATAGGAGCTTTCCTGAGATGACCGGGATTCAATTCCACATTCTATAGGGTGAGAGGAGTGAGTGACTGCCTGGGAGCTGACACATATTCTGTACCTAAACGCAAAGGAAAATTCGTGTTTCTTGGTTTCTACTTAGATATTTTTGTTGTGAATAAGAATTCCAAGTCTTGTGAAGCACATGAAGAGACTGAGGTCTACCCCAGTGAGTTGAAAAGCCCTAATTTAGATCAGTAGAAGGGACCCCAGAAACATCTGTATAACTGACAGGGTTATCATAGAGAGAGCATAATATGTGTGTATGTTGCCTAAGTAACATATGTCTTTAGATAACAATTAGAAGATGACTATCATCTTATCTGCCATAACCAGTGTGTGATAAGATTTCATCCAGCATGGAGCTCAACTTTAAGAAGCCCCTCTTCCCATGCTTTCCTCTCTGATTGCATTATCTTCTTCCTACAAGTGCTGTACCCCTGAATGACACCCACAGGCCCTAGTCAACCTTCCTCTGTTCCCACCACTGCAGTGAATCATTGGAATATCAGGCATTCTTCTACATCACAAAAGGAATTTTTGCATTTATGTCTAAGAATGGTCAGAATGCAGGCCTAACATACTATATTCCAAACTTGACTAAGTGGAATTAAATTACCTTTAAAAGTGACCACTTTAAACATCTACCACTGATATACAAAGATCTCTGTTTTGTAGTTTTCTTTCTGAATTTTTTCTTCGTCTTTCTTTCACTTTTTGATAATACGGCAAGTATGAAATTGCACCTGTTCATTAACTTGAATTTTATTTTCTGATGAATTTCAATTCAGATGAAATCGAGACATTTCATAGTTACTACTTGCCACCTTTGCTTCCTGGTCTTTGAAACGCCTGCTCATGCCTCTGGTCTCATTCCCTATGCAAATCTTTTTGAGGTCTTGAGATAGATACTTGACATGTGACTCAGGTCATCCTCAAACTTGTGGTACTCTTGAATTGAGCTTCAAATGACTCTTTCATTATGGGGATATAGATATGGGAGATGGATTGGTTTTGATTGGTTTTGCAGTGAAGTACTCTGCCAGAGCAAGTTTAGGGAGTAAGGGTTTCTTCAGGTTACAGTCCATCTTTGTTGAGAAGTCAAGGAAAGGACTTTAAACAGTGTGCCACATGCACAGTGAAGGGCAGAGAGAGAAATAAACATGCTCCTGTAAGTGTTCTGCCCACTGTTTACACTTAAGCATTTTAGGAGCCTCTGTCCAGGTAATGGTTGTGAACACAGTGGGCAAGGACTTTTTATCAGTTAAGATTTAGTAATCAAGACTGTTTCTGACAGACATGGACTCAGGCTCACCTGGTCTAGACAGTCCCTCACTGATATTTTCTTCTTTCTTGACCATGTCACTTTGAAAATTAAAATTCACAATTACAGTTACATAAGGACCTGGATGTAGCAGCATTGAATCAGTTACCTAAGGGGCTGACTGTGAGTGTTTGTCAATGTCAACTGCTGCTGCTTTTCATGAAAAAAATAAAATAGATCATGCTTTAGGCAAGTATGATCCATGAATCCACAGTAGCATTGTTTACTTGGGTACAGGAGAATCTCTGGGCTCCATGGAAGGTAACACTGTGGGAATAGTGTGTTGATATACACAGTGAGCAGGACTAGATCATTGGCTTCAGCCAATACAATATGCAGCCAGTGGGGTAGGATTTGGGAGGGTCATGTAGAAATAGGGCAGATGAACATTATAAGCACATATGCATGCATCTACTGCCTTTGTATAAACAGGAGATTTTTTTCTCAGTTTCTCTTGCTTTTTAACTGTCTTTCTGTCTCTGTCTGTCTGTCTGTCTGTCTGTCTACCTGAATAGGTGGGCTGATATGGAGAAGGATAATTGTATTAAGAGGCTTATGGTCCTCCACTCTACATAGTCATATTTAATATATTATTTACTGACCCTCCTCTTCCATGGCTTTTGATGTTAGAGAGATATAATGTGCCAAGGAGTGTGGTGGTATTTTACTTGTACTGAAATGTGATTTTAATTGTATGTTAATAAATAAAGTTGTCTGGGGGTCAGAGCTATTAGAGCCATAGCAAGTGCATGGTGGTGGTGGCGCACGCCTTTAAGGACCTGGAGGGCGGTACATTCAGGCAGTGACAAGGCAGTCACATGTTTGGGTTTACAACCAATGAGAAGGCAGAACAGCTAGACTATATAAAGACACACACAGGAAGTAGGTCCCTTTTTCGGAGAGCTCTCTTGGCTGAAGAGGATCCCTGAATCAGGAAGGGTGAGGCTCTTAGCTCTGACCTCTTGGCTTTCTTCTCTGAATTGGCTCTGTGTTTCTTATTTAATAAGACAGCTGGTTACATCTACAAAGGAGAAGATTTTAGTAGGAAACTTTTTTATAACATTTCTTTTTGTTTATTCCTTTTTCTGGTGTAAATAATATCTTCATTGCACATAAGGTTCAGTAAGAAAGATCACAAGAGATGGCATTTGAGAAGGATTTATTAATTGCCAATCTGACTGACAATAATGGTTCACCACATTTGGCTTTTGTAGGTAAGAACACTGAAACAAACGAGTGGGGACTGATTACGAAGGGAACTTAGTGGATTATGGAAATGATGAATTTCCTAAATTAAATGGAGATTTTTTAATATTTAGAATTTAAGATTATCAAATATCTACAGCCTTTCTCTAAAAGTAAAACATTCCCTCTAGATATTTGCTTGTTTTCCTCCTGTTTATAGTAGAATTAATGTGGCCTTATTATTTACTCATTTATTTATTCCCACATTCAACAAATATTTATTGAGCACTGTGTTGGGTAATACGATGACAGCAGTGTGCAGGAGATGTCTATGCCCTCACATAGTCCATAGTTGGGTAAAGGTTAGTAAACAGACATGATAAAATGCTACCCACCCAGTGCACAGAGAGAACAGTTGGTACTTCAATGGATTGGGTTTACACTGCTTTGCTGTCCATTTTATAAATCATACCATAATTGGGTATTTGGGCTAACAAATAAATAAATATCAGTTCTACATAGGATGGGGTAGACTAAACTTGCCACACAGACCTCACATCTCAAACATCAATTTTTTTGTGTATTACCCGACTTCTATGCTTGAGAATACTGTAGATTTCTTATACCAGTTTAATAAAACCTTTGCAAGTTGTGCAACATAAAATTTTTGAGGAGAGTCACTTTATGCAAACAATAAAACGTGCCTTAGTTGGTGGCCATACAGCTTAAATAAAGACAGTGTTGTTTATGTGGCTGATACTAACCATGGAGTCCTTTAAGTGCATCACAAGGACTTCCCAAGAAAAATGGTTTTTGGGGATCCTTAAAAGGACTGAGGAAAAGAAGGCCATACTATTAATAGATCATATTTGGTTTAAACAATTCCATATTTGATACTGGAGAAAGCCAAAGCCCCTCCATGTATCTTTTTAGACACCCTA